ACATATAACAACAGTTTGATCTAGGATATCCTATTAATCTGTGGATGATGTAAAATGAGTGTATTTTATCTCAATAAACTTATTTCAATTTTAATTTCAATGTTAAATGCAGAGGCTGTGCAAATATATATACATTGTCTGATATATTTAGTTAAATTAAGTCATGTTTCAAATTGTGTATTTCCTAATTATCTTCTCCTTTATATACTGTCTCCTGTCTATGATTTTTTTTAATTACAATTTATGAAATTCATTCAGCATAGTTATAATTTGCTTTGCTGTTTGTAGTCTATAACATATAATTTATAATTCGAATGAGCAAAATTTAGGGTATTATTAATACCTTTCCTTGTGTAGATGAATAATGTACATGAAATAGTGTAGATTGGACTACTGCATATAAGTTATAATTAAGTAATTATTATGGTCAGTGTCAAGGTCAAATTATTATCCAAACATTGTATAAATGAATAACGCCCTTGAACTAAGTCAGTAATAAATGCACAGCCATTTAAGAATAAAGGTTTTGACTTTGACGAGAACCTGGGGAAGATCCTGCCTGAGGAAGATTCTGCATGAGGAAGATCCTGCCTGAGGAAGATTCTGCCTGAGGAAGATCCTGCCTGAGGAAGATCCTGCCTGAGGAAGATCCTGCCTGAGGAAGATCCTGCCTGAGAAAGATTCTGCCTGAGGAAGATCCTGCCTGAGGAAGATTCTGCCTGAGGAAGATTCTGCCTGAGAAAGATTCTGCCTGAGGAAGATCCTGCCTGAGGAAGATTCTGCCTGAGAAAGATTCTGCCTGAGGAAGATCCTAACTGAGGAAGATCCTGCCTGAGAAAGATTCTGCCTGAGGAAGATCCTGCCTGAGGAAGATCCTGCCTGAGAAAGATTTTGCCTGAGGAAGATCCTGCCTGAGGAAGATTCTGCCTGAGAAAGATTCTGCCTGAGGAAGATCCTAACTGAGGAAGATCCTGCCTGAGAAAGATTCTGCCTGAGGAAGATCCTGCCTGAGAAAGATTCTGCCTGAGGAAGATTCTGCCTGAGAAAGATTCTGCCTGAGAAAGATTCTGCCTGAGGAAGATTCTGCCTGAGAAAGATTCTGCCTGAGGAAGATTCTGCCTGAGGAAGATTCTGCCTGAGAAAGATTCTGCCTGAGGAAGATTCTGCCTGAGAAAGATTCTGCCTGAGGAAGATCCTAACTGAGAAAGATCTTGTCTGAGGGCTCCTGCCTTGGGAGGATCCTACCTGAGGAAGATCCTACCTTGGGAAGATCTTTCCATGAGGAAAATAATGCCTGGTAAGGACCCTTGATGAAGAAGTCCCGGCTCTTATATAATACCACAAACACACACCCACGAGCACCAGCACCAAAAGATTCTGCCTTCTGAAGATCCTGGAAGATTCTGGGAGATTCTGGAAGATTCTGCACCACCACCCGCACTGTTATATTAACCAGGTATAACTGCTAGGAGCACAAGATCTAAAATTCGCTCCTCGCAGACACCGGGGATCTCTTCCCATACTGTTTTACTGGGCGACAGGACGTCGGACAAGGTACTCTTCGGGCTTCTGGCAGATGAACCGTAGGGACCTACTGCAATCCTTATTCCAGTACCTATTGTAGGGAGGAATAGAATAGAGCCAAGCATCGACATGTAACAGCACGGGGCTTATTATACACGATATTTAATGCACTTTTATATTTGCATTCCAACGACAGTGAGGAAGCCGATCAGACAAACGCCACGGTGACCGTTATATTAACGGTCACCGATTTAAAAGTGGCGATTTAAATTATAGTACTTACTTGAGAGTGTTGGAGCAGAAGTAAGCGCACTGGCCGGGCCTGTTGCCTGGGTTCCTGCCCCACCACTGCCCAGCCATGGGGTCGCCTGTAGCTGTCCAGATCCATTGCCCAAGCACTACACTTCCTGAAGTCCAATAGGTCCCGGGAACTGACCGATAACACCATGTTAAACATTAGTGCTTCAAGAATAACACCGTATCTTCTGTCGGATTGGGCAATATTACTCACAAACTCTGAAGCCCAGCAAACAAGTCGCAGCCACAAACAAAACTTACTTAGAATAGCTAACATGTGGACAACTATAAGGGTTTCATATAAGTTTATGTAAACAAAAGACGGGGAGTGACTAGGATAAGGCAGCCCGTCCTCCGAATATGGAGAGGTAAATGTAACGGAACAAGTAAGTGTAATTATGTACTATTTCTAGCAGTCATGAATTGTACTTATTTTCACTTAGTATAAACCGTACTGTCAAATAATCGCCATAATATTTGAGTTTATGTGAAAAGCCGAATAGAAACCCATGACCGAACCTGACCTTCTTAGTGTATGAGGACAAGCATTTATTGCTTCTTATTTACAATTAGTACTTAACCTATAGCTTAACCTATAACCTATATACTGATATTACAGTTTCATAAAACTAATAAAACAAAACTAAAATCTTTCAATAAATTATAAAGTAACTGAGGATATTTTCAAATTTTTGTATAAAATCTCTATTGTTTAATAAAACTGAAAAAGAAATTCTTTATATTTAAAACTTGTTTATGTAGAATCGAACATGAAAATTTAATTCTAAAATTCTGAGGGTTTTATCAGAAAACGAGAATATAAGAGGAGGTAAATGTAATGACACAAGTGTAATTATGTACTATTCCTAGCAGTCAGGAATTGTACTTATTACACTAAGTATTAAACCGTACTGTCAATTCGGAGTATGGGTTGCAGCCGGAGGTAAATCAGTTGCCTTTCTTGTGTGTTAGGATGATATGAGAAAGAGGTAACTGACAGATGACATTCGCGTGAGAAAGGAAAACAGGGGGATGAAAAGCAACTCACAGTTGTTGTTTATGTGAGTCAGAAGACCTTTGTACTCATCAACGTTAAGAACTGAAGCCAGCTTAGCCCCGCCGAGGCTGCAGAAGGCCTGGGCGTCACTCCAAGACTCCGCCTCCTGGTAGAACCTGTAGCAGTTCCCAGCGATGCTGGTGAACCCCTCACTGCATCCCAGCGCCTCTGTCATGATAATTGGAAATCAGAAACCACAGCAAAGATATATAAAATCGAAATTAACTTGCATTAACACCGAACAGTGATTGATTGATTGATGAAGATTAAGCCACCCAAAAGGTGGCACGGGCATGAATAGCCCGTAAGTGGTGGCCCTTTTGAGCCATTACCAGTATCAAGAGCTGATACTGGAGATCTGTGGAGGCGCGACTGCACCCTGCGTGACGGGAGATGTCTCTCGTAGACCGAACAGTGAATTGAAGTCATTTTAATATATCAAACGGTTTTTAAACCCTTCATAGCCTGACGATTTACAAAATTTTAATAATTTAGAACACGAACAACGTCAGAGACGCTTGTGTACTAGAAGACCGCAACGCGGCTGCATTAATAAAAGTGAATCCTACGGTATACCAATTAATACATACTGTCTGGCAGTAAAATTACCTTCTGGAAGATCAACGTCGCTGCGTTGGGCGTAGCAGCCGGCCGCGGCCAGAGAGAGAGCTATGAGAGCGACCTTCATCCTCGGGAGCGCAGAGAACCAGAGCTGGTCACCTAGTGTCTCGCCAGCTCTCAAGGACTCACCTTATCAACTAGGAGCAGTGGCGCTCCTTCTCTCAAGATTAATTAATTTGCCACGCTCATATCGTATCTTAGAATATGCTATACTGAACTCTTATTTTCGAATAATTACTAATCAACCAACCTACGTGTGATTAAATACAAAAATATAGTATTTGAACATTATATCAAATACGTTTTCCTTAATATCCGAAAACATTTGGAATCGGTCGGATTTGCCATATTTAGAAAAGATTGCCACACTTCCAAGGATGTTACACACAGCCATGGGATATATTACAGCCTCCAAACGAAATAAAAGTCTGTTAGGCTGTGATGCCCTCAGCAAAAGCCTTTCTGGCAGGTCCCAAGCTAATATATTTATACTGAAGAGGTATATTGCAACGCTGATGATACCATTTCATTAAGCAATTACAATTATCGATTTTTTAACATATGTCAAACTAATTAGCCAACAACTGTAAAAATTTGGTTTTGTGTTGGGTTTAAAGGCTATCAACAGTGGAGAATAACTAAATCCACCAAAACTAAATTATAAACTACATAGATCGAAAAAAAGGGTATTTATCCCTATTTTTTTTTTTTTTTTTTTTTTTTTTTTGAGATATATACAAGAGTTGTTACATTCTTGTACAGCCACTAGTACGCGTAGCGTTTCGGGCAGGTCCCTGGAATACGATCCCCGCCGCGAAGAATCGTTGTTACAACCAAGTACACATTTTACTGTTGCGTTAAACAGAGGCTACAGTTAAGGAATTGCGCCCAGTAAATCCTCCCCGGCCAGGATACGAACCCATGACATAGCGCTCGCGGAACGCCAGGCGAGTGTCTTACCACTGCACCACGGAGACTGGACTATTCGTGTATGTCCTTGTAGTAAAAGAATAATTCTAATCGTCAAAAAGTACAAATAGTGATCAAACTCATCCTATGATACATTGAAATGTAAAGTAAATCGTTGTAAAGGAGATATTTCTAGTATTAGCAGTCTTGTATCTAATATTTAAACCCATATTAAAACCCAATTTAAGGTGTCAGCTCTTATCGTCAGTTAAAGCTGGCTGTACATGACCAATACTAAAGCTGGTTTATATACACAAATTAGTTTATATAGAGTTGTCGCAGGTCGAACGAAGTTCCAAGTGATAACATCGATGTAGTCGAACACAAAGTTGAACACAGGCTATTATAGATGACTCCCCCAGCAACGCTAACAAACGAAGACAATAAAAACTCACTAACAACGGAGACATTACAAACTAACTAACAACGGTCATTAAAAAAACTCACTAACAACGGAGACATTAAACAGGCAGTTAACAACTAATACTACACTAATAATCAGGACACACTAATAACGAGACATTTCACAAACTAGCAAAAAACTTTGGATTTTAAAGAGATAATAGCAGTGAGTCAGATCCGCTTATACATCTCAAATATAAGACATTTTTTTGTAATTTTAAGTATGCATAGGCATGTATTAAACTGTAAACAGGATGACATAGCAGCAGCTGTTTTGCGTGACGCCTGTCAACCACTGTCAACGGCAGGAAGCTTATACTCCTCTTATCATCTTAGCTTATACTTGTCTTATCACAGCGCTTCTTGGAAGTCTGAAACTGACCGTGCGGTCAACAAGTCACTTGCCCTTTTCCCTTTATCATGATAACTCACACTTTTCTAACTTCAACAAATAAGTATGAAAAGAAGGCGCCAAGCCGGGGAGACAAGCCAGTTTTTTTTTATTATTTCCTTTAATCACGATAACTCACATTTTTCTTATCAGTCTTATTCCGTTATAAACTTATTGGCCAAACATAATGCGACACGAATTAGGCTACAGTGTTATTGACCTGAATTTACCCGAGAGCCACAACACTATTATCGCTTCAGTGGGGACAAGAAGCAGATGGCTTGTCAAAGGTCCCCCCACATGTGTCCTGCTGATGATTGTTATAACATAACAACAACTAAAAAAGCAACATGAAGACGAATAAAGCGGAAAGCTGCACATCTGGCCGGAAACTGCGGGATGTCGTTGTTGTCTCCACATTTATTATGTCAAGTCTTGAAACTTTGTGCTTACATGTGCTGCTATATTTTTTTTTTCATCCCGGTCGGGTCAGATTAATGGTTGGGCACGTTTCTTATCATCTAATGCCTCTGTTCACCTAGCAGCAAATAGGTAGCCGGGAGTTAAGTCAGCTTCATGTGGGGATCCATTCTGGGGAAGGTCAGTAGTTCGATCTTGTGGAGAACCTAGATGAAAGTCTATCGTTTATATGTATATACACTACCACTTCCCGACCAAATAAATCATACTTTACTCCTGAACACAGTCTATGAGTAAGTATATAAACACTCCATACTGGGCTAGGACGGTAGAGCGACGGTCTCACTTCCTACAGGTCGGCGTTCAATCCCCAACCATCCAGGTGGGTTGGGCGCCATTCCTTTCCCTCGTCCCATCCCAAATCCTTATCCTGACCCCTTCAATGTGCTATATAGTCGTAATGGCTTGACGCTTTCTCCTGATACTTCCCTTCCATACAGAGAGAAGCCGAGGGTGTGTGTGTGTGTACACACCCACTTCCTGTGGTTTCAAGAATCATTCCGGCGTCAGTGTTTTTCACCCTGTTATACTTGCCACTTAGCGCAGCCTTTAATCTTTTAAAGTAATACAAATGAATGTACAAACTCTACTCATTGTCCCACAAGTATACATTAAACATGAGAAATACGGCAATAACTCCTAATTAACATATGTAATCAAATATTTGATATAAATTAATAACCAAATTGTTAGAATGTAGCAATTCCACTCTCCATGAGCCGTTAGTTAAAAAGGGGAGCTTAGAAGAGGAGGGCCCATTGCAGTAGGGTCTCCGCTGTAACCAGGCTAGGCAAAGCTCTTCGGTAAACAAGTTGCAAGACCCGTAAGGCTCGCGCGCCTTCGCTACGATAAACGATTTGTATCCGTAAGTAGGCCAGCGATCCTTCAGTTAACTGTCTCGCTCTACCCTCCCCCCATCTAATTCCCTCTCTAGTAACACACATCTAAACCTATCTCACTCCCTCCTCTCCCCATCTCCACCTTTCACCCCTCTCTTTTCTCTCCCTCTCCATCTCTCTCTGCCGGCACCTCACCCCTTCCTCTCTCTCTCAGGGAGAGAGAGAGGAAGGGGTGAGGTGCCGGCAGAGAGAGAAAAAGGAGGTGATTTGATAAAACAACCATGCCCAAGATTACCATCAAAGTGCCGTCGGGGAAGTGGTTCAAATAGCCTCGTTGCTGTCGTTATAGATTCAGCTATATATATAATGTAGTACCTAGTAGCCAGAATGCACTTCTCGGCCTACTATGCAAGGCCCGATTTGCCTAATAAGCCATGTTTTCTTGAATTTATATATTTTTTTTAATTTTTCTTATGAATTGATAAAGCTATACATTTCATTAAGTATTACAGTTAATTTTTGTTTAATTTGAGTTAAAACTAACGTAGATATATAACCGAACCTAACCAACCCTACCTAACCTAACCTATCTTAACCTAACCTTAACTAACATAACTAAGTAAATATTTTATGTTCCTAATATAATATAATAATAATAATTCAAATAAAACAACTGGAAACTATATTTTGAAAATAAAGAAAAATCACTCGGCCTATTAGGCAATTCGGGCCTTGCATACTAGGCCTAGAAGTGCATTCTGGCTACTAGGTACGACATATATATAACAGTAGTAGTAGGCATCCATCAGTCCGGTATGATATACTATATAATATAATACTGTATATAATATATACTGTACACGGTTTCTGCGAGTGCTGTATATTATAATATATATATATATATATATATATATATATATATGTCGTACCTAGTAGCCAGAACGCACTTCTCAGCCTACTATGCAAGGCCCGATTTGCCTAATAAGCCAAGTTTTCCTGAATTAATATATTTTCTCTAATTTTTTTCTTATGAAATGATAAAGCTACCCATTTCATTATGTATGAGGTCAATTTTTTTTATTGGAGTTAAAATTAACGTAGATATATGACCGAACCTAACCAACCTTACCTAACCTAACCTAACATATCTTTATAGGTTAGGTAGCCGAAAACGTTAGGTTAGGTAGTCGAAAAACAATTAATTCATGAAAACTTGGCTTATTAGGGAAATCGGGCCTTGCATAGTAGGCTGAGAAGTGCGTTCTGGCTACTAGGTACGACACACATATATATATATATATATATATATATATATATATATATATATATATATATATATATATATATATATATATATATATATATATATATATATATATATATATATATATATATATACATATATATATATACAAAATATATATATAGTATATATACAATTTTTTTTATTGGAGTTTTATAATTTGAGCAGCAGCCATATCTTTATAGGTTAGGTTGAGCAGCAGCCCGCAGCTCTACCCACTGAGCCACCAGCACACCTTAATAAAGAAGGACTCCAGAAGCACTTACTTGCTGTCCAACTGGAACTTTAGGCCTTTCCTGGGGTGCCACTTTAGCATGAAGGTGTTAGATGATCCATGTCCTAGTCATTTGGGTCCCGGTAATACAGTCGAGTTCATTCTCGACTCACAATCGAGAATTCCGGGTTCGAATCCTGGCTGGGATAGAAATAGTTGGGCGTGTTTCTTATTACCTAATGCCCCAAGTTTCAGCCCTGCTCCTGTGCCGGGTAAGTCCATCATGGGCTCACCATAGCCCGTGCTACTTGTCCCGCTTCTGTGCCAGGTAAGCTACGGGCTCACCATAGCCTGTGCTACTTGGAACTTGTTCTGAGTAGCTGAATCTATAACAACAACCACCTAATGCCCTTGCCCACTTTGCAGTAACTAGGTACCCCAGAGTTATATTCACCTTGTTATGGGTTTGTATTCTGGGAGGGACCATGGGGGGGAGAAACCCTCGATATAACCCTAACATGTACTGTATGTGTAAAGTGGCTGCCTGTCCCTTGACACAATTAATTGTTATTAATATATAAATTGCTAACCACTATGACATAGATAACATTTCATGTATCTGGACAGTCAGAGCCTCGAACCACAAACAGCACAATCAGGGATACTGGGTTCGACTGCCGGGCATGACAGAAATGGTGAAATGGTTGGACACATTTTCTTTAACTTAATGCCACTGTTCACCTTGCAGTAAATAGATACTTGGGAGTAAATCAATTGCTGTGAGGTTGCGTTCTGGGAAGACAATAGTAGTTCAACCTAAGGAAGACCTTGATACTAGCCTAAAGTATATACTGTATATATACACACAGGCTTCCTGTACCCAGCAAAACTTCTGTTTAACTCATGCCTCGTAGGTGCCTCTTAGCCTGGTGGATAGCGCGCAGGACTCGTAATTCTGTGGCGCGGGTTTGATTCCCGCACGAGGCGGAAGCAAATGGGCAAAGTTTCTTTCACCCTGAATGCCCCTGTTCAACCCGTTCTCGCAAATTTAATAAGTCAATATTGACTTATTAAATATGTGCATAGGTGATATACTTAACATAATAGATACCCTTAAAAAGATTCATAGAAAACACCGACCTTACCTAACCTTGTTAGTATCTTAAGATAAGCATCTTATTGCTTCGTAATTACAATTATTACCTAACCTATAATAGGTATAGGTTAAGTAATAATTGTAATTACGAAGCAATAAGATGCTTATCTTAAGATACTAACAAGGTTAGGTAAGGTCGGTGTTTTCTATGAATCTTTTTAGGGGTATCTATTATGTTTAGTATATCACCTATGCACGTAGTTAATAAGTCAATAATTGACTTTACGAATTTGCGAGAACGGGTTGCCCTGTTACCTAGCAGTAAATAGGTACCTGGGAGTTAGTCAGCTGTCACGGGCTGCTTCCTGGGGGTGGAGGCCTGGTCGAGGACCGGGCCGCGGGGACACTAAAGCCCCGAAATCATCTCAAGATGCCTGTCATTTCTTGAGAATTTGCATTATCACGGCTACTGTTATTTTGGTCCCTGATTTAAGGAACCTGTTGTGTTACTGAGCCCTTCACAGCCTCAATGTGCCACATGTGAGTCAGAGGACAGTGTTTTGTGTAGCAACCCCAGTATTTTGTGCATATAAACCCCTATATTTTGTGTAGAATCTCCAGTGTTTTGTGGAGTAGCCCCAATGTTGTGTGTAGAAAAGTCCAGTGTTTTGTGGAGTAACCAGAGTATTGGTTCCAGAGAAAAGTGTGAAGATGCTGCGAACTCTCCTGGTTCTGTGCTTGGCTTTAGTGGTTTGCTCCAGCAGACGTGCAGACATTGAGGAACCTGAGTTCGAGTCACCAATAGGTAATCTTCAAGTGTCCTTATTGTAACCTTTTCACTATTCTTACACTTGTAAATAAAAATTTACAAGATAGATTATTACATATAAATACATGTACACATGTACAGTATTTACGTCCTTAAACTTCATGCTTACAGCTGCATATGATTCATAATATCAAAATAAAAGAAGATTGAAACCAATGTACTCTACCACACAAATATCAGCAAATACGAGAATAGTGTTTCTTATATTAAATATATCTTTTTCTCAATATTTATTTAGAGGCAGAGACAGGGAATGATGTTGAGGAACTGGACTGCAAGATTGGGTTCATTAGAATTGCAGGAAACTGCTACAGTTTCAACCAGATAAAGATGTCTTGGAGCAATGCTGAGCTTGCCTGTAATAACCAGGAAGCCCAGCTGGCTTCTGTCCTCGACGATGAGCAGTACAACGGCCTTCTTGGGCACATCAATGCAAACTGTAAGTTACCTTCCACCCTCCCACAGCCCAATCACTTGAGGTGGACGGTAGAGTGACGGTCTCGCTTCATGCAGGTCGGCATTCAATCCCCGACCGTCCAAGTGGTTGAGATTACATTCCTTCGCTCCGTCCCATCCCCCAATCCTTATCCTGATCCCTTCCAAGTGTTATATAGTCGTAATGGCTTGGCACTTTCCCTGATAATTCCCTTCTCCTTCCCACCCTCCCACACACCCAAATTCTATGCCATTTATATATCCATACGAATGGTAATGGTAAGTGTTTACATCACTTGCACCATCATATATCTCAAAACAACAGTAAGGTTTGATGGAATCAAATTACCGTACTTGCAATTCCTGATAGAACATTCCCTCCTGTGACGAGAATTTCCAAAAACGTGTTGCTTTTCCCTGACAGAGTTGCCCTTCCTGAATATTTTTCCTTTCTAGAAGTGCTGCTCTCATTGGCAGTGTTTTCTTTGCTGATACCCCATAGCTATTCCATGGGCATTAGTGAATGGTTTACAGAGGTAAATAATAGGGGTCAGAAACTCAACTCTAATGTTCTATAAAGTTAGTGATGGTGAACTATAGTAGTTGCATAAGTATAGCCTTAAACAATAAGGCTATACTTATGTAACTAAAGACTAAAAACAAAATGCAGAACAGAAAAATGAGTGTGCTGTAAATATCAAACTGCATATTAATATTGTTCAACAGATCCTGGGACATACTGGACATCAGGAGCAATACGATCGGGACAATGGATCTGGACAACCAACGGCAAACTCATGGCACAGAAGTGGTGGGGCAGGAATCCCGGCACAGCACCAAATCAATGTGCCTACTTCTGCTCCAAAACACTCAAGTAAGTATACACATACGGTACACTGTATATATTGTATAGATATACTGTATATATTGGAGACTTTGCTGGTTTCTCGGCAACATTCAGTGTGTTGTTGCTTATTAATAAACAACATAAACAAATAACTAAAGGAAAGATAGCTCAAAACTACAGTATGTACATGAACTTTGAAACGTGTTTCACGTATCATACAGCTCAAGCCACATATGGTTCACTTGTGTATGCAAGATTAAGAAAATTAAGATGATATGTGGGCATCTTAGGCCCACATATGTCATGAATGGGGTGGTTTCAAGAGTACTGTACTGAGCATGTAATAACTACAGAGTGCAATTAGCACAGGGTAGTGTGAATAATGAGTACAAGCATTTATAATATGTACAGACTGATGTAGTAGGTAGAGGCTGATGTAATGTGTAGTCAGGTGGGAAGAGTAGAGGCAAGTGACAGCTGGGGCGTGGCAGCTGAGAGGACAGCACTTCGGATTCGTAGTCCTGAGGTTCCGAGTTCGATCCCTGGTAGAGGCAGAGACAAATGGGCAATACGTTTCTTTCACCTTGATGCTCCTGGTCCCCTAGCAGTAAATAGGTACCTGGGAGTTAGACAGCTACTACGGGCTGCTTCCCGGGGTAATGTGTGTAACAAAAAGGAGGCCGGGTCGAGCACCGGGCCGCGGGGACACTAAGCCCCGAAATCATCTCAAGATATTCTCAAGATAACCTGACAATGGGATATCAAGCCAACAGCAATAATGTGTGTATTCACAACAAAGTACAGTAAAAATTGGTATACAATTCAGATGAAGCTACAACCAGGAAGCAGGATTCTGTGTGCCCAAGATCACAGGTTCTGGAGTTTGCCGAGCGGTGAGAGCCGGCTGCATGGCCATGTGGCATTCATGGTTGGAGTTGCTGTTGGAGGAGAGAGAGTATCTTGATGCTGTTTCATGGTTGAGTGATTTCATTGGATTGGTCTGTGAGCTATTTATTCAATTCTGGTGCCTCAACTACAGTAATGAAAATAAATCATAGGTACACACAGAAATCACAATACAGGTAGTGTGATGCATCAAATGAACAAATCCACAAGGGCTGTGATGAGGGTTTGAACTTACATCTGAGAGGATCCTAGATGCTGCCTTAATCGACTAGGCCATGATACCATGTTGTGGCCTAGTTGATTAAGGCAGCGTCTGGGATCCTCTCAGACGTAGGTTCGAACCCTCATTACGGCCCTTGTATATTTGTTCATAAATCACAGGTAGCTTTAGAATTACTCAGCCATTGAACAGTGGATGAGGGTAATGCACCAGTTGGTCATAGAGCTCATAGAGAGAGGTGGTGATTGCAGTTAGGGACACTGGGATACCGAGTGATGAATCTGCAGATGCCGGCGAGATGAAGTGGTGGGACTGTTACTACACAGTCATTTAATTTGGTGTTGTACTGTACCTTAAAATTTATGACTTACAACATTCTTCACTTTCCTTTTATTTATTTTTTATTGATATATACATACAAGAGTTCTTGCATTCTTGTAAAGGTACTAGCACGCATAGCGTTTTGGGCAGCCAATGCCTGAGCCACAACATTGTGGTATGACCATTTCATACCACAATGCTTTTGTTCCTGGAACACACACACACACACACACACACTTTTCTCATAAGATCCAACAACAACAAAATGAAACTGCCCATTACACACTAGTTCTTGTTTGGGTACATATTGTAATGTGTAAACCAGGAGTCAACTGTAGTTAAACAATATAAAACTTATTTTACTCCTCAAATACCTATTGAAAAGAAAGGTATAACAGATACACTATATCTTTTTAATCAAAAATATGTGCAAAATTAAATGGAGTACTGTACTTGATTTAATTAGGTTTTGTTCACAACTAAGGATTTCAAAATTACTGATCAGTTTACAAGATGTAAATAAAAACCTTTTTTATGTTTGGACAGACATTTAAATATAAAATTACAGTGGCATTTGACTGTTTTTACATTAAAGAAGTTGTGACTGATACTCCTTACTGTACTGTACTGTATTGTACTGTATTGTATTGTATTATATTGCTTACTGTATTGTACAATATACAAAAATTTCACAGGCTTTCTCTATAAAAGCTGCCTATTTATCACCACACAAATCCCATGCATTTTTCAGTATTAGTTCATGTTTCACTTGAAAAATGGATAAAGTTCATCACATTCTTCACTATATTCAGCGCTAAAGTACAATATAGGTAACTCAGTATGGATGATATTAGCAATAATGAAAGCAGAAGATACATTATTATTAAACTTAATACTGTATGGCTGAACAAAACTCACCATAATAAAATATATAATTAAAAACATTTTCAGATACCTGTATACTCTTTCATTCAATATGGGCGCTGTGCCTTGTTACTGTACAATAACATATATACTGTACAATAACGTTTCGGGCGTTCTGCCCAAAACGCTTTGCGTAATAGTGGCTTTAGGCATTGTATGTACTAGCTCTATCTATTAACCCAACAAACTTTGTAAAATCTTTTGTATGTATGTACCTTACCTAAATAAACATTTATTTATTTATTTATTTATTTATTATATCTTTCATCATTGTACAGGTACTGGAACAAGCAGTGTGATGGACAACTGGGCTTCATCTGTGAGGAAGTGAAGAAAACTGTGCCTGAAGCAAGTAAATATACACAGCAACTCCGGAGGAAATCATGGAACAGACTATATTATTAGTACTGTACCAACATTAGCATCAGTGTTTACTGGGCACTGTCTCAGAGGTAATGATATAAATACACTAAGAACATTAAATGATTGAGCAAGATCTCTACTCCTAAAAAGCAACCTTTGACCTAGTTTTTCCAGGGTTTATTCCTCCGATCTTCCTCTTGGCTGTTAAAATTTCAGGGCACCACATTTTCAGATTTTGTCTATAAGTAAAACACTACAGTAATGTATATTGATTTACTAATAGTTTTGTTATGCATAGTGGACAGGAATCTTAAGGTTCTGATCTAATGTTGAAGTTTTGCAACAATATAGTACAGTAACTCCAAATTCTTAATACAGTACTGTATCATGATCTTTCAATACTCATACGTAAATACAGTATGTGTTTATAAAATATGGCCAAGCCAACACACCCATGCTTGTGTGCCCAAGATACTTCACACCAGTATTGTGCAGTTAAGTCAAATTACTATTTACTTGAAGACTAAACCCCACACCAGAAGATGAGGAGACGAAGACGTTTCGGTCTGACCTGGACCATTATCAAGTTGATAATGTCCGACGACTCATCGTCGTCGTCTCCCCATCTTCTGGTGTGTGGTTTAATCTTCATATCTTCAGCCATGTTATTGTGACTCATTGTCTGCATACTATTTACCTAATTATATCAGAAAATATAACTACTGTACTGTCCTATGATTACCACTTAATTATGTAATACTGTGCAATAAAGTGTACCATCACCAAATAATGTAAGAGTGTATCACTGTGCAGTGATTTGTGATATTATCCCTAAAAATCTTTAAAACCCAGTGTCATGACAGTTCCCATTTGTCAGGGACAGGAACCCTGTGTATATATATTATATACACTTTAGCCTTGTACTGAAGTTCCCCCAAGGTTGAACTACTGATGCAACCAGGATGCAACCCCACAACAGTAGTCTAAGTTCACGTACCTATTTACTGCTAGGTGAACAGTGAAATTAGGTGAAAGGAAATATAGCCAACCATTTATGTCCCACCCAGGAATCAAACTTAGGAGTCCTGATTGGGAGTCGAGAACATACCCGACTGTACTACGAGACCCCTCTTTGTGATATATTTAATTAGGCAAACTTATGCATCCTTTCATAAAAGTTTTTAAGTTTTAGCAAAATGATACACAACTCTGGTCTTGTTTACTACTATAAGCCAGAGTATAAACACGTTTTTGTGCATAAGTATCCACTAGGAAAATGAAACGAAAATTCTGAACGTTTTCGTGTTTCACCACATTATCAAGGTGTGGTGAATAATGATGATAAAGTGTGGTGATAATGTGGTGTAACCACATTATGATGATCATGTAATACAGAAATCATGTAATAACCTTGACACGCTTAAGCTATTCTCACCTCGTTCAGTACAATGTGTCTATATACTGTATATATAATATATGAACACATTGTACTGAATGGGGTGAGAATAGCTTAAGCTACCTCATCCCATTGTGTGTATTTATACCTCAATAAACTTATTTCAACTTCAATTTCCTTGACACAAGTCTTTCTGTCAAGGATGTTACATGATGAGACTCAAAATTAAGGACAATGACCCTTATTACAGACAGTGGGAAAGAAGCCAAGTGAAATTAATGAAGGATGCTACAAGCGGAATTTTTTTTTTAATTGAAAGGGAAAAAGCAAAGTAGAACAAGAGTGTTAAACTAGAGACTGGTAACTACTAACATGAAGCTTTCCGCTGCATGGGATCGCAGTTACATGGGAGTGAGATGTCATTACAGGAATCAAACACTTGTGAGAGGTTTCTTACAAAGTAAAACTTATGCAAGAGAGAAATACATAAAAAAAATGTAAGGAGAACAAGGAGGTAATAGACGAAGCAACTGGCAACCATCAGCATCTATGCCGAGGAGTAGAAGAACTCTCAAAACTCTCTCCAGGTATGCTCCAGGTATACACCTGTGGAAATGCAAATTCTATTGGAAACTGTAAAAAAAAAAAAAAAAAATGTGCATGTAATAAAATGCCTCATTCTGATTGGTCCCTTGGAAGATCTCTATATCTTTAGCTCTGAAGCCAAGGCTTAAGAAGTGCACCAGGCCTCTGAGATATGCTGACCTACTGGGAGTTAGGGCCGGAACTGGGCTCTGAGGTGTAGGGGAGGGGAGGCTTGAAATCACAAATCACCTTAAAACCAAGAAAAAAACACCAGAATGATATGCAGAACAAGAGCTACTGCCAGAAGAAATAAATCCCTTCTGAGGCAAACATGACAAACAATTGTTGCCCTGGGCAAGCAAGACTAACATCGAATTGTAACTAGATGATGGCCCAGATCATCCAGCCAGCCATTCATCTTTTTCATGAACTTTCATTACTGAACCCCAAACACCCCATAAAGAAGAAGGGATCAGGGAAGGCCTGAGATCTACTGAGGGCCCAACAGAAAAGAGCATTTCATTACATTTAATGCTAGATTTCAGTGACGCTTCTGTGGAAGCTTCCCATAGCTTACTCCTAACAGTGCCCTGGTGGAGGAAGACAGAACATGAACTAATCACATGTTCTCTTTCAGAGAACATTTGATTTGAGAACTTGTAGCATCCTTTATTAATTTCACTTGGCTTCTTTCCCACTGTTTGTAATAAGGGTCATTGTCCTAAATTTTGAGTCTCATCATGTAACATCCTTGACAAAGACATGTGTCAAGGAAACTGAAATTGATATAAGTTTATTGAGGTATAAATGAACAAAGAACATAACAGAAAAGACAGAGAGGGCTCACCTGTGGAAGAAGAGAGTAAGGCCAGGGGTAGAGGAGAATCAGCAGTATGCCAAACACCAGGTGCCACACAGGTATGGCAAGACCATGGAACATTTACCATGTGGTGAGAAGCCAACACCCTGCTGGATCACCAAAAGCCCTGAGTCTGGATAATAGCCGTGGACATACTGTACTGGCAAAGATAGTCAGGACAACAAATGTATATGGGTATGTGCATCATTGGAGCTAGAATAAAAAGCCTGCTGGATGAAATGAACCACTTTCCAGATGACTTAGGAAGGGATGGGAAATCAATGGCATGTGTACCGAACATAATACACGTAACTACAGCACAGTATTTTGTTGCCATGAATACACAGTTATTGGTTACTTAAACAAAGTTTTTTAAGAGTCCTTTCAAGTATATTTTTTGCCATTGGCACTCAAAAGAACTTTTTTCAAAATTATCACCAGTTTAATCACACTCCCAAACAAGGTGCCCACACCTGACCAAGGAGAACCTGGCCTTGGAGCAAATTATGTTAGGAGAAAAATCAGCCTTCAACAAGGAATCCTCAACTGAGAGTGAAATCCAAATGTGAGAAGACTAAAACACCAAAACCTGAATCAATGATCACGTTTTGAAGAACTAGAGCATGAGACAGCAAGAAAAAGGGGGCAAGGCCACAATATCCCTAAATGCCAGAAACAAACTCTGTGATGGCCAAACAATATGAAGTGATAGACGAAGTGAAGAAGACGAAGGGCAAGTTACCAGGGCTGAACTGACCACACAGTAACCAGAACAAAATAGTCCATAAAAGCCTCCAGCATGGCCAGAATGGGAAGAAGCACTGGTCAATAAGCAAGAGGTAAATGTATGACCACTGACTCCAGTCCATGCTAAATGACTCCAGTCATTCATTCCAGATCATTCCAGATCATGCTGCATAGATTGAAAGCTGCCAATTCGATGTGTATGATGCAAATGGGTACACCCCACCTGCAGACAATGAAGCATCTCACAAAACCAGAACAAAGAGGCCTTGTCCACCGTGCACTCCATTGAAATCGGATGGAAATTGGATTAGCCACCCATGAGAACATTGGACATGCTCCAAATGTGAACTGCACTGAACTAAATCCTGAGAAGCCAACACCATCCAGACTGAAGCAATACAAACTTTGACTGTAAATGTGAGAGCTGGAGATGAATTCCCAGCAGAGGTTCAAGGCATTCATGAACAGCTTGCACAACAAAAAGACTGGCACCATGGAATTAAACTCTGAAAAACCAGAGGAGGAAAATGAGAATGCAAGAGCTACCTCAGGTGAACTGGAGTAATTCCACATAGTGCTTGGGTTGGCAAAAGGATGCCCACTAGTTTTTTTGCCCACTAGTGGAAGCAGTAATGCTCCTTCAGTCATATGGAGCCCAGAAGGTAAACCATGCAGGAAAAATTCAGGCTGTCCAGGTGGCTCAAAGGTCCTAACAATAAAAACCGAGACCTCTTCAACACCAGCTGGAGAGGTTGTACAGCCATTCATTGGAGAGAGGAGCACACCATCCTGCATCCCAGACTAGTACCAATTAAATCATAACCAGAGACTGGTGCCAGACTATTTGGCACTCTAGACAAGGCCAACTACTGTATTAAAAAAAAAATCCCAACTTTAATATTCAGAAACAGATGAACAAATCCACAAGGGCCATGATGAGGGTTTGAACCTACGTCCAGGATGATCCCAGGTGCGCCTTCGTCGACTGCGCTATGACATGGCTAAAAGAATTGCAACCTGGAGTGCTACTTGCCGTCACAAGTATCCCGCAGCTTCTCTGAAGCACAAACCGGGGTTTCACACAATTCCCCCATGCACCCGGGCTCTGTCAACCAAATGTTCTACCTCTTCGCCCTTACTTCAACACACACACAGAAATCACAATAGTATGATATATCAAATGAACAAATCCACAAGGGCCGTGATGAGGGTTCGAACCTACAGGTCCATGATTGAGGGTTCGTAGCTTCAAACCCTCATCACGGCCCTTGTGCTAACTTGGTCCACACTCAACTTGTGATAACTTGGTCCAACAGGCTGTTGCTTAGGGCAGCCCACAGGCCCACATATCCACTACAGCCTGGTTGGTCTGATACTTCTTGCAATGAAGTGCAAAGGTCTGCCTGCCTGAGGTCTGCACCCTAGGTGGCTGCCTTGTTGTCCTAATGGTAGCATTAGACCAACTAGGCCTAATGCTACCATTAATGACTGGTCATAACCTGAATAGACACTAACTTGGATTTCTGCCATTTGATCAAGCTTATGTGAGCCAACTGAAAAAGAACCAGATCCCTGGCCAGCTGACAAGCCAGGGATCTGGCTTGTCAGATCAAACCAACCAGTTATTGAGGATGAATAGAAATTGAATCCCTGAAAGATGAAGGTGCCAAAGGATCGTGGGAGTCAGCATGGTGAAGACTCTGGGAGTTAGGTTTAAGCCAAAAGGCAGAGCCTGAAAGTAGTAAGAGAGGCCACTCTCTAAACCCACCAAATCGCTAAACCTTGGGTAGTTGGTAATATGCCAGTAAGTGACCTGAAGATCCAGTAAAACAATCCAAGAATCACTTGAAATCACCTGTCAAACCTATAATGGTGATCATTCGGAATGTGAGACAAGATTTGTAAAAGCGGAGTACATTTTGGTACATAATAAAGTGAAGCTCCAGGGTATCATGCTTGGAGACAGGGAAGAAGCAGGTCACCCTAAGGCAAGGATGAACTCACCATGAGCACACCCTTATCTAACAAAGAGTGAATGTCCTTTTGGAGTAGAGGAGTAGATGACAGAGCAGGTTCCCTGAAACACCAGAAGGAAAATGACCAAACCCATTGAAGTACTTAGGGCACCATATCTACACCCAGGAATCCTGGAACTGCCATGCTGTCACACGAGAATACAACAAGAGTTAAGACGTGTGGAACC